ACAAAAATCCATTTGTATCCAACATAAATTACATTTTCAGGTGTTCAAACTACATGTCCAAACACTTCCATTTCAGGAATTCAATTTCGACTGTATGATTTCTTTCCACTTTGTCCAATAATTTCTATGTTGACATTTTTAACAGACTATGGTTCCGGATCCTCATTTTGTGTAATGTCAAAAGCTATGTTAAATGCGAAAATATCTATAACAATATTATTTCGTTCCCATAATTTATGAGATAACATATAATTTATTGAAATCTCATTATTTTCGGACCTTGTGGTTTTTCAGGAACCATATTTTCAATATTTGATTGATCAATATTTTCTAATGTTACTTTTTTTGAAGTTTTTGATTGATTTTTCTCTTGTATTTTTTTCGAAGTACAAATTCTTTTGAACCAACTGTCGACCACCCTTCTAGCGTATTTGAGACTCGTTTGCTTCAGCAAATTATCCTGCAGGGACATCAATTTTTGCTAGAATAAATGACTCTGCTAAACCATTTTGTGTACGGACATGGGCAATCGAATGTTCAATAACAATCCCAATTGACATACAATATTAATCATCGAATGCTTGTGATTTAAATTTACCAGCGTTGTCAAGACTAATAGTCTTGATTGAGTAATTGGAAAATTGCATTTGTAATTTTATGATTCGAGCAAGTAATCTAGCAAAAGTTATATTCCTAGTGGAAAGTAAGCAAACATATGAACATCTAGTAGAAGAATGAATTAATACTATAAATAACGAAATGGTCCACATAATGGGTATATTGGCCCACACATATCTCTATGAATCATTTCTAAAAAAGTTAGAGATTCAATATTGACATTTGTAATCGAATGTCTAATAACTAACTTACCTTACGAACAAGCTACACATGGATAATCATTAGGTAAAAGAATCTTTTGGTTCTTTAAAAGATATCCATATGAGTTGTCTATTATTCCACGCATCATTATAACTCATAGATGTCTAGTCAATCATACCAAAGTATAAATTTCTTTGGATTAACGAACTTCTGGTTCATAGAGTTTTTCTTTTATCTGCTTCTGGCTAGATACAAAAGAAGTTATGCAAAAATATTCAATATTATTTTTCTCCCATCGTCTTAATGTGATATCCATTATTGTGGATATCTTTAAAATTAAGCAAATTTCTTCTGGACTTGTTAGAATAAAATGCATTTTCAATATATATAATTTTATATTATTTAGTAAAATAATACAAGCTCTTTCGGAGCTTTCAACAATATTCGATACACTTGATATCATATTGGCATTATTTTCTACAAATATTAAATTTTAAGTACTTTTATCTTGAAGAATTGTGTGCATATTTGCACTATTTGCTAAACAAATATCTTCATGATCC